CTTACACTTTCTTATCGTTCAACAGACAGAATAGATAGATAAAAACTAAACTATTTCACTACTGTCTAAACCTGATTACTTAGTACTGTATCACTATCTAATATATTACATGGAAATCAACACATGTAATCTGGTATGATCTAACATAGGAATCGCAAAAATCAAATTTAAAAAAAATGTCAATATATTTCCCAGCATAATTTATTCGAAGCGTTACGTTTGAGTTTAATATATTTTGCATTCACGGTCGGGATGATGTTATTAGAATGTGCGTATATAATCTATTCCACGTGAACGTATCCAATTTTAGAAGAACCGAGATCCGATGTTATCGAACTAGCAGTATAAACATAAAAATGTAACACATATAGTTTAGATATCTAAATTATTCGTCAAATAATAAACATAACATGAACGAAATAGCCTAATACATGATAGGCTTGATTTGTAGCGACCGACGAATAAATTCTTTATGGGAAATATGTGTTTTTTTAAGCTGCAGTATCTCTAATTAATTTAAGAAAGTGACATAAAAATTCCAAATCCTATTTTCTTCAAGTTAAATAAATGCACTGCCCTTTTGCTGTGTTGGTGTATGTCGGTGTTGGAAAATCAATCAAAGCAACGCCTACACATATGATACCTGCTCTATGCCGAGTTCTTGCTAATACCGTCGATGAATCGGGCATGTATTCACTGGATGTGTTGTTTTACCTCTGTCGGTTATTATTCGAAGCATGCATTAAATCAATTAGTTATTTTTAGATTCAATAACTGCAAAAAATAAAAAAAAATATTCTGATTGCAGTCAGCTATAATTACTTGCTTGAAAAAGACAGCACCCTACAAGATGCACTTCTGCATAAGTGACGACCTCGTGCATTATGAAGTCTGATGCATTTCTCGTAGAAGTCAACTTTATATATAAAAACATAAGGTGCTGTCAAACATTAATTTCTCAAACCATTCGAGGGTGAAGGTTTTTTTTCAGAGAAACCTTTTATCTATTTCGAGCTCAGTGCTGTGGCAAACACAGTTAATCCAAGTACAGGTTCACAATTATAGTGCTCAGTGAGTCCATTAATATGGTAATTTCTTGTGCTCTACCTCATCGGGTTATGTGATGTCCTTAAATCCTACTGCTCACACAAAATTTAACAGGATTCCATGAATGATTATCTATTATTTTTTCAAGTGGAACTGTTTTTGTGCCATTTGTTTTAATTTTTGCAGCTATTTGCAATACACACACATAAAAATAAATATGAGGTTATTACAAGGACATCTCTTATTATCTCTCCTTATTATCATACATCTTTTCCTTTCAATGATACGTCATGGGAATTCCGAAATCCAAAAAGTTTAGAGCAGAATCAGCGAACTTCTTTGTATGGAGTCCGGTCAAAACCTGGTGGCAGGCATGTTAAAAAATGTTTTTTTTTATTATTTGAGGACGCTTGCGCGCGTAATCATTCCGTATTTGGAATTCGAATTTCCTAATATGGTAGGATGAACACACCCCGTAAAATACCGCAAAATTACGATATTAAAAATTACCATATTCAATCTCCTCCTCTATGGTACACGAATCAATGCAATTGTATCCAGTAACAGTCAATATCCAGTAATTGTCAATATAGGTATTTCATCACCGCATTAAACAATGGCCAACACATACATGTCTTCTGGCCAATGATTCATAATGCGTTAACTTTTCTGGTGTTATATGGATTGGGATACGTCTAATCCATATAAAACAATTACTAACACGCGTCTTTTTTCTAACCCATGTGAAAGGATTCATAATGTTTACAAAGTTTTGAAGTTCTATCATTTGACGTATGTCAACACGAATAAAACAATAACAAACATAAGTTTTCTTACCAATGTAAAAAATGTAATGTTTTCACATATTTGGAGATATAATTTGTCAATTGTCTAAACCCGTAATACAATAACCAGCACATGACCCTTGACCAATGGTAAATTTAAAATGTATTCACAGACCTAGTGGTATATAACTTGTCGTATGTACAAATGGGTCATATATGATGAGTAGTGCATTTTGGGTATTACAAAATAGGGCCTTGTATATTACATTGCATCACCTGGTACACGGCAAATTTATTTCATATCGAATTATCGACGTACTAAGTGTACTTGAGCGACTATATACTGTACATATATATCAATTATATAGATCGATCATCATACTTTTATTTCAATATTTAAATAATTTTATCTCTGTACAAATTGCAGGAAAGTGACAATGTTCGGTATTTTTGCAAGAATGTGTAATCAAATTACAGGTTTCATTCATAGAATGTGTTACCACCCTGTACCAGCAGGATATTGGTCTAATGCTATGATGACAACTGCTCACTCAGTAATCCGAGTTTAATTAATTAATTAAATAAATAAGGAAAGCACCCGATTTACAAGATTTGATTGGTCCCTGTTTATCCGGACATGCAACTCACAAACCAAGCCAGATATGTTTAGCTAGCTCAATTAATTGTTACTCTCCTTGTATGTGGAACTTATGATTTTAAAGATAAAACCGGAAGAAGGAAATGAAGATATGATTCAAATCAACCAATGACGTGCATAGTAGATTTCAGTTGACAAATCGGGGACATTCATTTCATGAACTCAGTCTATTCTATTGGTTAGCATTTGTCAGGTTGCTCCATTTTTACCATACTTCTAGTACTACTATCACTAATAAGGTGTTACATCAACCATGTAAATTTCAGAACTGTTTCTAACTGTACATCTACATAATAATATATAAAAACATGATAATTCGTTCCATTTTGTGAAATCTGTTTACATATCCTGAGAAAGACTCAGTAAATGAAGTGGTGGAGTAGTATAAAAAAATACGAAGCCAGTGGTAAATATTCGTTTAAGTAAAATGAGGAGTAGTATCTTGTCCTTGAGAATGTCAAGTGAAGCTTCATGCAAATGTACATCTATGAAGATACCTCTTGATGTTTTCTACTCAGAATTTCTATTTCTTGTTCGGAGAATTCAGAATCATTATATATATATACTTTCCTGCAATTGGAAGCATTCAAGGAAGTGATATTTGTTGAAACAACACTGCAAAATGTTCAAAATGTCTGCAAATAGCTTTAATATGTAAATGTCGCTGTTGGCTAAAGTCTCGAGCTAAAGTCTCGCGAGCAAGAAGCAGGAACACACATGATGGAATATGAGCGTTGTTCACATATCAGGTTTGAATGGATGGGCTTTCTTTCTTCCTTTCACACTTATCCTTTTAACCAGATGGTCAGGTTCGGTATTTTAGTTGCTAGTATCTATCGCATTGCATATTATGCAAATAAATCCCATATTCAAATTAGAATGAATAGTGTTGAAATATGCTCAATCGGTATTCGAAGTTAATAAATAAATAAATGTCAAAATTAAATAGATTAAAACATGCCACAATATAAAAACACAGCCCCTTAATATGCCTGCATGTGTTAGCTACACTTTGCATTGTACGTTATTTACATTTATTTGGACAGAACATCAACAGCTGAGTCAGGGATGGACCATTAGAAAGTAGGGGTGGTTGTAGAGCAACTGAGTCAGATACCATTTGACGGAGATTTCACGTTTTTCCCTTCCACTGTGTATGCACGCCACCTCAACGTTCTACTGGTCTGCCCATATAACTATCAACATCAATGGTTGTGTGGGAAATTAAAAGAATAAATATTATAAGAAAGATATTTTTGAAATTTTCCATTTATATTTATATTTAAATATATTATAGGGAGCCTAGCCCCAGAATTTTGCGCGAAAACACTGAACGAATCATTGACATTATCGAGTTGTAAAGACCACGAAATGGAAATCAATTTCTGTTTTTAACGATCAAACTAATTTCAATTCTAAGTAACTTGGACTTAACGATGTCTGTACATCTAATACAAATATTTGCATAAATATTCCTTGTTCAACATTTCGAGACAGTCCTTGTTGGTAATATACAGCATTTCAGACCTATATCCCAAAACATAATTACATTAAAGCGGGAGGGTCGTCACCTGCGTACGCGCGAGAATTGAGTCCCAAGCGACGATAACAACATACGCTAAAAACGCAAAGGCTCATGGGTAGACGCTTGTTTGCAAACAATGACACGCTATGGCCATCTGACGCATGCGCAGGTGACGACTACCCCCGCTTTAATAGACCAGTTGGCTGGTTCATTTGGGTATTTGCCCCAATACCGAAAAGTAGGGAATGTAATAGTAAATAAAAGTAAAAAGCAAATTGCATGGCATTGTTGAACATTGTATATTACACATAAAGTGATTGTTTTAGGTATATATGCAGATTCGTGGGGTTCGCTGTCGTAAAAAAATATATTTTTGCATTTTTGAAATTTGATATTTAGACGGTCTTGCTCTCACAAACGTTTTCAAGAAGTCAAAAATACCTCCAAATGACAACAAATAAAGAATTGACGACGATATTATCACGATATTATCACAAGTCAGAATGAGGTCACTCCAGGTCATGTACTTATGAAAACTGGAAGCACTTTGAATAGCATTTTTTTTTTTACGAAGAAGTGTTACTTAGTGTCAGGTGACGGATGGGCAGTCGTTCATAATATTATCTTCGCGTTAACGGAAAGTCTAACTCAAACAGATATGACCGGAAAGTTCCTCGATGAACACAGCATATAGATAGTATGAACATTTTAATTTGAATTCTCGTGGTTATTTAGGTTTAAAACTCCCTCGCCAACTGAAAACACGGAAATCAGATAATAACCAATCTAAACCTCGTGTGAACCTTGGTGTTTTGATGATTTTTAAATATCATGTTTCATTTTCTAACAGAGCCCCGAAACCCGAACACTGTCTAAATATTGAACAGCAAAAACTTAATTTTATGGTTCTGGCTGCCCACGAACCTGCATCTATTCCTTAAATACTGTGACGTAATTTGGCTCAAACGTCTGACGTCATTTCTATTCGTTCACAATGCTGCGCTAGGTCAATTGTAGTTGTATTTGTAACGCTGATTTTGACAGTGGAAGCACCGTTCGTCGTCGATCTGTTTCGTGAAGCTCGTCTAATCTCTGACGGACTGCATTCACTAAAGTAGTCCCATTGACGACCAGGCGGGGAAGGTCTACCGCAGCACAATAACTGCCGAAAGGCTCGTCTGAAATCCCTATTTGTGGCATAAATAACTGGGTTTAGTGTACTGTTCACCCATCCCAGCCACGTGAATGCAATATAGCAGTCTAGTGGCACACACTGATCGCAAAACGATATGATACAGTTAGCAACGAAAAACGGCAGCCAGCAGATGACAAAAATTCCTATGATTAAACCAAAAGTTTTAATAGCTTTCCGCTCTCCAAAACTTCTTGAATGTTTGTGTTTGATGTTGAGCGTCCTTTCTTGTTGTTTGATTTGTTTCTCGATTCGTCTCGCTGTTTGATATATTCGGTAATAGATTATCAAGATAATTGTGCTAGGGATGTAGAAACTGATTGAGGATGAGACCGTGGCGTAAATACCATTCAGTTTGAACTCACACTGTGGAGGGTCAGCTAGTAACGAATCTACGTCATCGGCTCGGTGTGCATTGGTCATAACCGGGATGAATGAAACAAGTGCGGCCAGTATCCACACGCCTATAATCATTAAAACCGCTCGTTTCCGTGTCATCATAGCCTGATATCGGAAAGGTTTCATCACAGCCCAATACCGATCCACGCTTATAACACAAAGGTTCAAAATGGAAGCAGTAGACAACATAATATCCAGCGTTATGTGTACTTGACAGAATTCACCGAATGGCCAATAGCCAGCGACTAAATTGACCGCAGCCCAAGACATCACAAGTATGGCCACTAGTAGGTCTGAGATTGCTAAGGATACGATGAACCAGTTTGTAATGTTAGTTCGAAGTCTTCGATAAACAAAGACTGAGAGAATGACGAGAGCATTGCCAAGTACTGTAAACAGCACAATAAAGGCGAGTACGAGTCCAATAATAATGTTCTTCACAACATCGGGTGGTGGAAGGGTTGACAAAATAAGAGTCGGTGAAGTAGACGACCAGAAAGCATCCGTCGTCATGGTAACCTCCCGCAACTTTGTATGCGTCATCTGCGTGGTGAACCCAACGATCTGGTAAGGTGTCTCGGACGTCGTCATTGCCGCCGTTAGCAGCGACATCGCTGATGTTGTGTTAATACTTGCGTTTGCCATAGTTGTACCATTCACACCGTTCTGCTATTACCATATCCTGGGCGGTGGAATTCTAACGTCGCGATACATGAGCGATTTTTATCAGTCACAGCTCCCTGTGGACGACAGAAAAAATATTATATTACAAGAGAATAAAATCGACCGACCGTATCATTAGAAATTATAAGGGTTATGGCTGCAGTTGTGTGAAATCGTGTCTGTCAACCGTGGCAATGCATTACAGAGATGTGTAATGGCTGTATTTGTAATACTTTAGTAATAAAAAATACACTCACACTCTTCTATGGGGCGACATGGTTTCGATATTATAGATTTAATTACGTAGTATGCGGGAATTATATATATTGCACGAGTTAAAGCGCTACAATTGTAGTACAACACGCGTAAACAAACAGTGATTTAAAACGTCGCGTGGGACCCATGTCGAACACGGCGCGTTGCGACGACAATGTCACCTTAAACGTGTAATAACACAATTATACAAGAACCCCACTTAGCCAGCCAGGAGTCTACCTGTGGTCATGGAGGTAAACAGATTTTTATGTGTTTTTTTTTACCTCCATGCTGTGGTATTCTCAGTGTACATTCACCTGTATTATAGTGTAACCATGTGCAAGTGACAAAAGAAAAATAGTTTCAAATTTAAAATTATATAAATCGTAATCTACAACAACATCACTACCACTGTGATATAGTGAAGTACACTAATGCACAAACCGTCGGTATACCGAGATATCAGTATTAAAGATGGCGACCCATTGACCGGAAGTCTACTTCGCCATTTGCCATTCAACGTCCTCTGTAATATCAGCCTAACCGATGTCACATTATATTATCTGACATCTGTACTGATATCGTTGTGTCGCCTGAATGAAGGTGTCCAATTGTTAACAAGTATTCCTGACTCTGAGCTCCGTGGTCGCCTGTAGGCATATGCAATCCATCGGGACACAGTGTGCTAAATAATATACGAGTACGATTCAAAAACATGAAGATAATTTATCGCTTGCGCCCACAGATGTCGGATGCTATCTAGCCATTGAGAATATAGAGATTACTGAAATTTATTATCATATATACAACGTTCAAGATATGCCAACATATTTACGTGCGTGTATCAATAAGAAGTTAATTTCAATTTACATATATTCCCATTACACTTAATACTCAATGACAAAGCGTCAACTTCGTTATTATAATAAAATACATTTTTAGTATGGGCTGCGATCGATATGAAGAATTGACATCCCCAAGTGTCTGTTATTAATTAGAAGAATACTGATTGTTTTCTGATTGCACATTTATCATATTAACAGCTGTTTCGTTCGAAGAATTTGAATCAATGTGTATATTTGCTATCACTCGTGTGTATAAATGTCGTAAAACTCATCAAAATTCCGTTGTTTACTCGCCTTTTGAGTTGGTTAATCCTCAAATGCGCCCCTTTTTGCGGGGAATCGGAAAAGTGTTGATGCCGAGTGCATCCCACGCAAACGTAACCAACAAACACACGTACATCGTCACATGTAAAGGTATATACACAGTCTAGTGACCGTTGACTTAACGCATTGTGGGAGCCGGAAAAGTCTTCTTTGAGTCATAGACCCGATCGATATTTGGCAATTTGTAAAATCGCAGTTCAAAAGAAATAAAATAGCTTCGCCGCCATTATCCCTAGTTAACGATCTGTCGCAGCTTCCTCCCAGTCATTAGCAAGATACAAACTTCATACAGCATGTGTATTTGCGTGGAAACCACCTGGCTGAAAACGCTAATAACAACGTACTACAATAGCTATGGCAACATGAGTGTCGATAGTCTTATTAATTATTTCCAAATTTGTTGAGGATCAGTATTGTTAATCGTACCGATTTACTCATATGTACTTCTTTCTAATGCAGCTATACTATATTGTAAATCGGTTCCCAAAATATAATCATATTCTCTTTCGAGCACGCGCAGTAAGAATTATTGAGGTTGGTCATCAACGTGATACCTCTCTTGTACCCAGGATTGAATAAGAATACGGGAACCGTGGAGTCGCCAACATCGACGTAATTTCTAATAATGCTGCAACTGGAACGCGAATAAAAAAAGGAATATTTAGAAAGAGATCAGTAACCCCATACATAAATGCATATTACCTGGAACAAGTAAATGTATATTACAATTGAATTTACATGCGGTGAATAATTTATAGTGATAGTATCACCAACATGGATCGCCTCGCTTATATTTTTTTACTTTAAGTTGCAGAATAAAGTGAACCAGTCGGAAATGTAATACGTCAAAACAAACAAGTAGCTCGTTGAAGACTAGTCAATTATGATGCACGAAGGTGAACTTGTGTATAGACATACCATCTATCGTAGTCCATGTTAAAGGGCG